TAAAGTTTGAGGATTTATTTTGACATTAAACTTTTTTTATTTTTATTTTAAAGGTTATTGAGTCAATTAGGTATTGACAATGTTAAATTTGAGCTTTGAATAAAATTTAGTTATACAAATAATTAAATTTACCTAGATTTCATACCATATATTTTAATTTAATTGACCAAGTCGGTCCAAATCTTGCTTTTGGTTACCTTTACCTACATTTTTCTCTTATGCAATTTGATTGAATAAAATATTTCTTCCCATAGAAAAAAATCTCAAGCTTATACCAAGTCAGTATAAAAATTTGTTTTGTCTTTGTCTTTCAGGCAATTTGATTATAAAATTATTTAATCCTTTGAAAAAAAGTGATAATTTTGACCATGACCATGTAAATTTTATTTGGTCATTTTAATATTATTTCCTCCAGCATAGGCAATCTCAAGCTACCTAATGGCATTGGTCCTTTACATATTTTAATTAATTTCAAGTTAATAATTTTTTGTCTAGATCATTATTGTATTTAAAACTGACTGGAGGAGTAATTTAAAAATATAAAATTTAAATAACTATTCAGATTAAAATGAAAAAAAAAAAAATCAAAGTCCAAAAGCTGGGAAAGTAACCATTGAAGCAATACTAGGAGGAACATTATTTTAATGACGGTTAAAGACCATCTTTATCATATAAATTATTATATTGAATGTGTATTTGATTATAAATTACACATTATTTTAAAGATAATTAAAATGTTATTTTAAAAAACTCTCTCATTTAATGTGTACTATTCTCATTAAATTTTAAAAAATTATAATACAATAATTAAAAAGTTATTTATATGAAAATCATTCTATAAATCAGTTCTTACAATTATATTTGTCGTTTTTTAAAATTTCACCCCCACAATATATATCAATAAATAAGTTTTAGAATTCATTTAGATAAACATTGAGATTGGCTTCAATAAGAAAAAAAATAATAATAAAATTTATTACCGTTGTGATTAAAAAATTTTTTTAAAAATTTATGTTAAAATAAATTTTATTAAAATTGATATTTAAATTCAATTACTAGTACTGTATAATTAATTATATCGTATTAAAATGTGATGGAATCCAAACCCTCCAAATGGAAATTTAAATGGTTTATAAGTTGGGCTCAACTTTGCCTCATCATTTGATAGCTAAAGCCCATTACAAATACTAATGGGTTGACCTAGATCACCCCCCTTACACATTTTTTTGGATCATAAAGCTTGGAATAATTCGATGAAATGTGCTCCCTTTGTCCTTGTGATACAACTAATCAGAGCAAAGAAAAAGTCAGGCATCAATACTTAAGCAAAGATCTATTCTTCCATTAATCTTGATACTTAAGCAAAAAGCCACAAAGTTATAATATATAAACACCCCTTTTAGGATCTTTAAAAGGATTTTGTTTGAACAGATAACATGTCAAGACAGGCTGTGATTTGTTTTAGAAAGTAAGTAGGTCAAATCCATAATCCAAGGCCTAGTATGGCTGTTTGGGTTGAAAAAAACTTTACTTTGCAAGCACTAGTTTGAGCTGGAAATTTCAAACCTGTTTGTCATTGCATTTGATGACTCAGGTGCCATGTGGAACTGTCCATTAATCAACTGCATTTTAGTGGATAATCTTTATAGATTCAGTTTACTGGATATCAGTAATAGTTCATTGAAATTTCTCTAACAGTATTATCAATATATAAAATGTAGGACCCTGACTTCTCCAGTGTCACTTATCAAGTGTTTGATGTCCATAAAGGAGTATACTTTTGCTACTCCTTACTGATATCAAATGATTTCTCATGTAGATTATTACTCAAACATTTGGAATTATGCTGTACTAGCCTGAGTCAGATTGCTTAAGTGAGTCCCTTTTACCATCTCAATCAAACCACCAAAAGAATATCTAGAGTCTAGGTCCAAAGACAATTTTTCACCAGGTGGAATGGGGTTCTCTGAAGAAGCATCCCCAAAGGAGATGAAGGTCAATATTCCCGAGTCAGAAGCCGATGATAGGGTAACACAGAACTTAATTTTATAATTTTACATTGACATGGTTTTATTTCTAAGCTAGCTAATATGAAAGAACTATTTTCCTGGGTAGCTGAGTGATAGTGATCATGATGATGAAGACTTCAATGAATGTAATTGCAAATCAGGCCAAACTGGGGCGTCTGCATACAAGCGCCCAATCACCATTCGTGCTGGAAAGCCAAAGGGTGCCTTAAAAGTTGCAGTTGATAAGGTTAGATGTCTTGGTTTGAGTGAAAAGGAGCTTGAAAAGGCTGCCGGATCTCATGGAACTTTGTTGTGAGGTACCTGTCAAATTCTCAAGGATGTTTATGCTTTTGATCATCTACATTCTTCTGATGATACTAATACATGCTCAACTTTTCAGATTTATGCAGAAGAATATCCTGTGAATCTATCCAAACTATTGGATGGATGCATGGAGCTCAGATGATTGCATTCAACATGCAGGTTAGTCGGAGAAACCCCTCTTGTTAAACAGAAAATTGGGTGTAGTAACTGTAAAACTTTCTACTAATACATTTGAATGCCCTTTATTAGGGATATGGAAAATCACTCAGGTTGATGCATGGCATGTTTAGAACTAATGGAGGATGTGGTTATGTGAGAAATCCTGATTTTCTGATGCGGAAAGGACCATATGATCCGGTATTCGATCCAAAAACAACACTGGCAGTACAGAAAAAGTTAAAGGTGAGCAAATTAGTTAGGCTCAAACTGAAAGTCATCTGCATTATGATTCTTTCTTAAAGCATTTTTACAGCTTAACAGGTGAAAATATACACGGGGATGGATGCCGGTTGGACTTTAAACACACCCACACTTATTCATATACTCTCCTCCAGACTTCTACACAAAGGTTTGAGAACAATTCTGCTCATTACAAATCTGCAATAATATATGGACAATTTCCATTAAAGAACTCGAAAAGATAAGCCCGCGGCCCTGGATATGTTGACAAAAGAGATAGATTGATGTGGCTCCCTCAAATTTATGATATATGATGAGAAGTAACATGTTACATGATTAATACCTATCTACCAACCAAATGGCAGGTTTACATTGTTGGGGTGCCAGCAGATGAAACCTAAAAGGAAAACAAAGATAATTGGAGATGATTGGTTGCCTCACATTTCCCTTGATTGTTCCAGACCTGGCTCTCCGCAGGAGTGAAGTACAACAGTATGACATGTTGGAGAAAGATGACTTTGGTGGCCAAACATGTTTGCCTGTCCCTCTGCATAACAAAAAGGGAAAGAAACTCTCAAATTTAAGGCTTCTAATGAAGTTTGAGCTTGCATAAATAGTACAGAATCATTAATCCAGGATGGCTGTTGCCTTTCGCACCCCCAATTCGTTGTCATTAGTTGAGAAAATTATGATATACTATCAATGAGCCGTTAGTTTAATGGTACTGAAATCGGTTCTAAGATGGAAGATTTTGGATTCGAATCCAGCTCAATACACCAACAAAGAAAATTATGATATGCTAAGATGTCTACTTTTGCTCGATTTTGAAGCAACGATGAGAAACTTTACACGCCACTCTTTTGCCCTGTAGCCTAGAATTATTTCTTATATTTCTTTTTCGAAGATTTGATTGATGAAAATGCTGGCTGACGACCACAGACAATCTTAAAACTTTAATTTTATTGGATTTAATTAATATATAATTATACTTTTGGCTTGCATAATGGGTGTCATTGACGGACCATTGCCTATATAAAAGATGAATTATTTATTCACTCTTCCATCTCATTTGCGTTTTTTTAATGACAAAAGCACTTATATACCACAATTCCAAGCTGGATTTTTGCTTTTGAGAGCAAATGTTTGAGAGTGCATTTGCTCCCAACCACATAACGTTTCAATCTTTTAAATTAAAGAGTAAATTGTAAATTTGACAAGTTTCTAAATGAAATGATATGAATTTGAAAGATGGAAGGTCGTGATAAAATAATTTTTATGGATTTATTATATTAAATATAAAAACATTTATTTAAATTAATTATAAAAAATATAAAATATATATAAATTGACTATGAATATTCATTTTAAAAATTGATATTTATCTATTAATAAAATAATATCATGTAATTTATTGATAATACATAAAATTTATATATTAATGGTGTATAAAATATAAATTTTTATTATATTAAATAAAAATAAATTTACTTAAATCAATTATAAAAAATATCAAATAAAATTTTAAAAAAATTTATTGATAAAAGATAAATTCCAAAATGGGAATTTGAGAGAATTATATGACAGTGAGAGAAATGGTATATGCTAAAAATATCCTATACAGAAAGTACAACTTTTTTCTTATGAAATTGTAAAAAAAAAAAAAAAAAAGAGATAAGCTTGACTAATCATCTAATTGAAAGACAACCAAATTGGAAACAAAAAAACTGCCGACAAGCAGTAAATGTAATGGTCCAACGCAATCACTGCATTTTTTTTTAACTTCATTTTTTACTGCTGTTTTTTTTTTTACTATTTCTTAACTCAGAGTTATTTTTTTTTACTGCTGTTTTTTTAGTTAACTAGGCTCTCAAGGCTGCCCACTTCATGAGAAATTCAAATATTCTGTGACTAAAAGAAGAAAAAGAATAAAATTATTGAATAAAATTTAAACCCAAAATCAAAATAAAATTTATCAATTGAATAATGTTTTATTGATAATAAAATTACATCTTTACACACTTTTGGAAAAGCAAAAAGAAAATTCAGTCAGTAATAACTTTGTCCCCAAAAAATAAATAAATAAAAGATATTTTATGAACCTTTTATTCTTTACTTGCCTAAGAAAAAATGGGTGAAATGTATTTCACCATTTTCCCTGTATATTCAATGATTGAGAAGGAAAATTAAAAAAAAAACTTAAAGCATTGACCTTTTGGCAGTCCACTAAGAAAGATTAGATTATAGATGATCAAAGCTAAAATCCTGAAATCCTACCGACAAAGGCCGATGCCAACTGTCAGGTGGGGCATACGTATTAAGAATGTGAATGGGACCCCTGTTCACAAAGTCCCATTCACATACGGATCCCACAAACATCCCACCATAGTTCCTGGAAAAACTGAAAGATAAACATAACATCATCATCATCTTCGAGCTGAAACAACCACCCAACAGTTAAAACTTAAGATATCAAACAGTCAGATTTGCAGATTTTCTTCTTATTTGGATATTCTTGGAAAAACCCAATGTCTAAACAGACTTACAGGGTCTGCTTCTGCTTCAGCCGGAGGTTTAGGCTGGCAGTTTCAGAGGCACCAGAGGAGATCAAGAGGGTGTTTGAACAGTACTCTGAGAGTGGGATCATGAGCATTGATGGACTGCAGAGGTTCTTGGTTGAGGTCCAGAAAGAAGTTAAGGCCACCGGAGAAGATGCGCAGAAGATTATTGATAGTGTTAAGCATTTTCATAGAAAGGGTCTAAATCTTGAAGCTTTTTTTAAGTACCTCTTTGGTGATAATAATCCTCCTCTTGCTTCTCTTGGGGTAATGAATTTTGTCTCTCTTTTTCTTTTTCTTTTTGCCATTTTTTATATTGGTTTTAGCATTTGCATTTTTCCTTTTCAGTTATTTAATTGGGATTGAAATTTTATATGATTTTTTTGTTTGGTTGCTGGGAAATTTTGGGAGAAGTGGAATTTTTGTACATATGATCTTTGTTTTTATTTCCTATATGGATTTTCTGCAATAAATCAACTGAATTAAAAAAAAGGGTACTTTTCATCTCATCCTTCAATTTTTAGTAGGAAAATTTTGGCATCTTGAAGTGTATGAGATTTAAATGGAACTAATACTTATTTTCAGTTCATCAAGTAAAGTGTTGATTAGATCGCTTTGTTTCTTTCATAGCTTTGAGGATGGTCCTGTGATGATGCTGATTTTGAGTGAAATGGTCTCCAAGGCTCATGGCATATTCCCCTATTTAACTTCTATCTAAAATATGCGATTACAGGCTTTGAACTTATCTCAATGTGTCCGTACCTTTGAACTGTTTTGCTTTTGTTGTTCACTCTTAAGCTATTCTATTAATATTGAGATCGGTGAAGGGAAAAATTTAGGACTTGTTGGAGCCTTTGTGATACCCCGGAGTTACAATTTGCTTTCTAGTTTGAACAATTCACTATTGTTGTTTATGTCATGTTCGTTTCTTTGGTTTCAGGTGCACAATGATATGAGTGCTCCATTGTCTCATTATTTCATATATACTGGCCACAATTCCTATCTTACTGGGAATCAACTAAATAGCGACTGCAGTGATGTCCCCATCATAAATGCACTTAAGAGAGGTGTGAGAGTGATAGAATTGGATATATGGCCTAATTCAGCCAAAGATAATGTGGATGTTCTTCATGGAGGGTATGTTCTTGAAGTGCAATTCATTCCCATTCTAAGCCTTTTACATGAATGGATCTTCCATTTGGCTAAATGATTTTCTAAAAATTTCATACTATCATTGCAACAATTTGCTCATTCACTTCAGTTGGTATCTTGAACATATACGTGTACTTGCCACCAAAAGGAAAAACTGAAGGGAGAAGAAATACTGAATTGTACATCACATAGCTGTATTAATTTATTTTTCCAGGCCATTAAATTAAAAAGATGGTTGCTTTTTACGTGACGGGCATCTTGCACAAAAGCATGTAGTTGCCATTGTATGAGGAAAAAGCTGAAGATAAAAACATGACTCTGCATCAAAGTTATAACTTTGCATGTTTATCACCTGCTTGAGATACAACTGATTCCATTACTATGTGACCTCCAAACTACAGTAACTAATCTATTTAAGTTTTAAAATAACGGTCAACCCATAGTCAGTGATTTCGCTTCTTAGAGAATAACGAATAATTTTCTTCATGTAGGACTCTGACTACTCCTGTAGAACTCATCAAGTGTTTGAGGTCTATTAAGGAGTGTGCTTTTGTTGCCTCAGAATATCCAGTTGTTATAACTCTAGAAGACCATCTTACCCCAGATCTTCAGGCTAAAGTTGCCGAGGTGAGTCTTGGTGCTTTTGTTGGGAATTTAAACATCTAATATTCCCATAATTTATGCTTTTGTGGCTAATTTCTAGATGGTCACTCAAACGTTTGGAGACATCCTGTTTTCTCCTGGCTCAGAATGCTTAAAAGAATTCCCCTCCCCAGAATCATTGAAGAAACACATAATCATATCTACCAAACCACCAAAGGAATACCTTGAGGCAAAAGAAGATAAGGATAAAGAGAATGATTCAGAGAGGGGTAAGGCCAGTGATGAAGAAGCTTGGGGAACAGAAGTTTCCAACCCTAAAGGCAGCCATGTAGCTGATTACAAGGTGTCTGCTGATGCTGAGTGTGATTTACTACATCATCTTGATTTTACTAGCTGTTTACTTCAAATTTACTTCTCACTTTTTGTTTACTCTCTTATGACAGAATGACTTGGATGAAGAAGATGAGGAAGATCTTGATGATGGAGACAAGTTGCAGCATAATCTAGCTCCAGAATATAAACGTTTAATTGCTATTCATGCTGGGAAACCAAAGGGTGGATTAGATGAGTGTCTAATGGTGGAGCCTGATAAAGTGAGACGTCTTAGTATGAGTGAGCTACAACTTGAAAAGGCTGCAGCAACTCATGGAAAACAAATTGTCAGGTATTTAGTAAAAGATTTGGCAAATTTCATTTATGAGAGATCATCCTTAGTTTTTAGATAAAGCTGTTAGTTTCTTTTTCTCTATTGGCAGAATGACTCCTATTTGGTGATATTTGTAAAAGGAGTACTTATCTGTTCTGGCTTCTTGAGCTTCTGTTTTCTCACTGCTTAGATGAATTCACTTTAAGATGATGTAAAAGTAGTGCAGAATACATGTTATGAGCGGTCTTGCTGTTGTGAACATTTACTTGAGTACCATCAGCAGCTTGACTGCTTTAATAGAAGTAGTCATTTAGTATATCTGTATCATCACATAAATGATCATGGTTGGTAGAAGGTTTTGGTTATTGTTAGAATTAGTTGATCAATTACATATTAGTACCTTTTTGTTTTTTCCAAATTTTAAGTTGGATATATGTCCATTTGTTGATCCTATGTTTCATGTGTGATTATGCTATTATTGACATTGCGTATACTAGAATTAACCAAAATGTGCATCATAAGTCATGTTTGATTGTATCTTCTATTTATTAAATTGCAAAATTCCCTCCTGATGCTTGCATTGCTACAGGTTTACACAGCAGAATATACTTAGGGTTTATCCCAAGGGTATACGCTTTGACTCTTCCAATTACAACCCATTGATTGGGTGGACGCATGGGGCTCAAATGGTTGCATTTAATATGCAGGTTTTCGCACCCCCTCCTCCCCCTTTCATTCCTTTGTTTTTTTCCCCTCCCTTTAACTATAGCCTATATTTTCTCAAAATTCATTTACTTGACATTTCAATGAAATAGTAAGTAAAAAGATAGCAGTCTCAGGTATGATAATATATCGTTCTTTAATTGGTTATGGATGGGCATAATGGTTTGTAATTTGTATAGCTCAAGATATAGAGATGAAAGTTAGCCAGATTGCATATTTATTTGCGGTCGACATAATCAGAAAATGAAAAAAAAAACGATAGTTTTAACTAAACCATGCATCCTACTTAATTTTATTAAAAGCTTGAAATGGCAATCAATTGACAAAAGGGCAAAACTTGAGGTGTCCTTTTGATGATAAAAAGTATTTGGTTGCTTTGTGGAGGTGAGCAAGTGATTGTATGTAGTGCACGATACTTGCATACAATTTTGTTGTGTGTATAATGGGAAATTAATGGAATAGCGTTCCTTCTCCTAGACTGATAGTGGACTTCATGTTTAATCTTACAATTAGATAGGAAATCTGCATCAGGGCCTACTCCGTGTCTTTGTTCTGGCATCATGTAAGAGATGATAGCCCGATGGATGTTAGAGAGGAAATTGTATGAATGCTTTATTTAGTTGATTTTTGCTAGTTGCTTCACCAAATGCTAAGGTTCTTATATTTTTCTTTTTGTGTTCTTTGTGTATGATAGGGTTATGGAAGATCTTTATGGTTGATGCACGGAATGTTCAAAGCCAATGGGGGGTGTGGTTATGTAAAAAAACCAGATTTCCTATTGAACTCTAATGAAGTCTTTGATCCCAAAGTCGAGTTACCGGTGAAAATAACTTTAAAGGTGAGTGTTTGATTGCCATGGGATCTGAATTCTTCATCTTTTTTCCTTTTATTATCTTAATCAATAATGATGATTTCTTTTTCTTGTTTTGGAAAGGTAACTGTGTATATGGGGGAAGGATGGTATTATGATTTTAAGCAAACGCATTTTGATGCATATTCGCCTCCAGACTTTTATGCAAGGGTAAGTTGACATACTTTGATATCGTTTCAATGCAAGCAACGTTTGCATCTGGCTATTCCTTTCAAAGACATCACCATGAAACTTGATTAATCTGTGTCCCCAGGTTGGGATTGCCGGAGTTCCAGCAGATTCTGTGATGAAGAAAACAAAGACTTTAGAAGACAATTGGGTGCCTTCTTGGAATGAGGAATTTGAGTTCCGTCTAACTGTCCCGGAATTGGCTCTACTTCGGATTGAAGTGCACGAATACGACATGTCTGAAAAGGATGACTTCGGAGGCCAAACATGCCTACCAATTTCTGAGCTAAGAAGTGGGATACGAGCAGTTCCTCTCAACAGCCGCAAGGGTGAGAAATACAAATCTGTAAAGCTCCTTATGCGCTTCGAATTCATCACTCCATAGTCCCCTGAAGGACTTAGGGGACCTTCCAATTGTTTAATGGCATTGTGAGCTTGTGTGCAGTTATCTACTACATGTTTGCTGTGTGATATACCATAAATAACACCTGCTCTGTTGTTTTTTTTGTATTGCTGCTACCATTGCTGCTTGTAATTAGCCATATTTGTAATTTGTAATACATAATTCTGTGACAAAGAATCTTATATTAGTACATATTTAGCAGTGAAGAATCAGTATTGTTTCAATCATCTTCACTTGCTGGTTTCATCAATCTTTAAGCTCTTACTATTTTTCGTTCTTTTCGGAAAATGCATTTCACAACTTTGGAAATGTGATTTATATATGCATTGCAATTAGATTTGTTCAAGGATGGGTTATCCATATAAATATGGAAGTTCACTCAAGTCTTAAGAGAGTGTAGATAAAAAATTAAAATTCATTAAAAAGGTTTGAACATAATTTTTAAGTCCGTTTAAATTTTGAGTGAGCAGGATCTTAGATAAAAGAATTAAAACTTTTATTTGGGGCGATTTGGTCTAAATAAAATATTATAATTATATAAGTATATATATGTGAATTTTTATTTTTATATTTTATTTTTGTTAAAAATATTATTTTAAAATTTTTATTATATAAATTAAGTTTAATAGGTGGGTTTGATATTTATTTTTTTAATTTAGATAAAATTTTAAAAATTAAGGTCTAAAATATTGGGTCAGATGAAACTTAATCTTAAATAAACATATAAATTATTAATATTATGTGTAAACTTGACTTGATTTAATCCGGTTATGAACATCTTTAATTATAGTTTTAAGATATAAGATTTTGCATGTATTTCAATATGATGTTAAAAGTTCAACCAGAAAACTTGATTTTGGAAATTTCTTTTTATTTTTAATTTGTGATACAGCCTTGCACATGTACTAATACATGGTGATCATAATGTAATACAAAAATTGCCCATGCATTGTTATTGCTGGGCTTAAACCGATGTTCGGCTCAGAGAACTTTTCCAGGAAAAAAAAAATTGGATGTTTTTCTCTTCCCTGTTATCCAAAGGTGATTTGTAATGGGGATTTGTACAATGAATCACAGAGGTATCCTTGAGGGAGTCCCATTGATAAAGCATTGATTCAATAATTCTATGAAATCTATGGTACAAGAGAATTCAATCTATACCGATTCATGAATTTTGATAAATTTATAAATCTTGATTGTTAGTTTTGAAATTTAAATTTTAAATTTAAATTTATTGAATAATATTTTAATTATATAAATTAATTAAATTAAAATTTTAATTTAATAATTCCAATTTTATTATCTTTTGAACTATAATTAAGATTAAAATTCGTGACCCTTATACCTAAACAAAATTTTAATATTATTGAATTAATATTTTAATGATAGTAACTATCAACTTTTAAAATAAAAAACTTGAAATTCTTGAATTTAGACAATTTAATGAACCTAAAGCACAGAAACTGCCAAACTATAAAATGAAAAAAACTTGGAATCTAGACGACAAATGATTAGGATAAGGATAACCACAGGGCCTAATTGCATTGACCAAACCCTAGTTAAATCCCAAATATTTTTTCCAATTCAAAGTCAATTTCCTTTATCTAACTGTGCCCTCTGCGTGTGAATTTTCAAAAAAGAAATGTGTCACCAAATCATGGACTCAGTCTTTTCATTCATCTCCTTGTTTTTGTTTCCAGTCAATGGGTTTTGTTGCTAACCCTTTTCTGGGCTCAGAAATACCAGTGTGAATCACCCTTTCAACCTGATGCAACGTGATTGAAAGCACATTCAGGTCCACATGTTCTTTGTTCTTTGGTTGGCTACTTGACTCTGTCAGGTTGGCCCCAACTCAATAGTTCTAGTCTTCTTTTTGCTTCTTTAGTGTGAAACGACCTGGTCAAATTCGAATCCTCCCCCCCCCCCCCCAAAAAAAAAATAATAATCGACAAGAAATGAAAATTAATTACTTTTTAAGAGAGTAAAGTAATCAGTAATTTGTCAGGAAAAGAATATGCTAAAGAGCAACAACAATGAATCATGTAATCATTTCTCCTTGTTGTCTGTGTTCACATAATCCTACCCCACAGCTCAATGTTAGATGAAGAACAAAGCTTCTAAATCTTTTTACAATCCAAAATGTATACCTGGATAAATCATTGATAGAAAAATTTTAATGAGAGAAAGAACAAATTGCTTTTTTTTTTTTTTGGTTTAGAGAGTTGAAATTTCACTCTGAAACAATTGATAATGCATCACTAGGGATGCTGCCATGGCTGCCATGACAAACAGCCACTGCCCTCTCCAAATTAGAAACAATGTCACCAATTGTAGGCCTCTCTTTCCCTTCCAAATTCACACAATGCATTGCAGTGTATGCCATCAGCTCCACTGCTTCTGCTTCATTCAGCTCTGGTGGTCCAACCCTTGTGTCCAAAACCTTAACCAATTCACCTGCGATAATTGCAGGCACAGTAAAATCCACCAGGCTCACTGGGGTCCCTCCATTTTCGTCACTCTTGAATATAGCCCTCTTCCCTGTCAGAAGTTCTAGCATTACAACTCCAAGCCCATAGACATCACTCTTTGCTGTTAATACATTTAAGCCATAGTACTCAGGATCAATGTAACCAACTGTTCCAACCGCCTTCGTTGGCCTGAAATCAAGACCAGATTCCGGACCCATCAGGGAAAGTCCAAAATCTGAAACTCTTGCTGTCCAATTCACATCAAGTAATATGTTAGAAGACTTTATATCTCTATGAATTATAGGTGGAACTGCATAATTGTGAAGATACTCGATCCCTCGTGCCGCATCCAAAGCAATTTTGATCCTCATTTTCCAGGAATTAAGCAGACTACTACTTTTCTCAACGTTGTTCTTATCATGTAAATGATCATAAAGTGCACCGTTCTTCATGTACTCATAAACCAGAAGCCTTTCATCCATCTCTTCACAATACCCAACAAGTCTAACCAAATGCTTATGATGAAGCCTGGACAAGAATGCCAATTCTGATTCAAATGCAGTCTCTTTCTCTTGGAACTTCTTGGTTATTTGACCCGTCTCACCTCTTTTAATTGCTACTTCACGGCCATCCAACAACTTTCCCCTGTAAACAACCCCAAAACTCCCAGCACCAATCTTGTTTTCAAACGAAAAATCATTTGTAGCAGCAGCAAGCTCAGCCAAGCTAAATTCCTCAGCTCTATCAGCATGTTTTGATGATGTTCCACTTCTTTGACGCCTCATTGCTCTTGAACCCTGGCGTCTGATTGTAGATGACCTTGATGGAGGACTATTATTTGATCCTGGACCACCATTAGAACCAGCTCTAGTGATTGTTGGCTGAACCGAATTATGTACTTTCTTTTTCCCAAAACAAGCACCAGTCCATAAACAATAAATAACACTACAAATCCCCATGAAACCTCCAATTGATCCAACTATTGCGAAAGCCAATAACCCTCTCCTCAACTCTTTAGATGGAGACGACCGCGTTGGAACCTCCGGAGGTGGAGCTGCAGGTTCCGGCGGAGTTGACGGTGGCGGTGGGTTGGTGAAATTAAAACAGGGTTTACAAATGTTACCTGAACCAAAACAAAGCCTATTTGATTGAGGATATAACCCACACTCATTACAAGGAGATCGAACGCAAGGCCCTGGTAGAATATCAGCTCCCAAAGGTAACTCATTTACTGAAGAATTTGAACTTGACCCATTGTTTCCAGGCCACCCTGGACCCCAACAAACGATTGAAAAATTCGTGGTAGTCAATCCACACGTAAAATTTAAACCTGAAACAATGGATTCGAACGCAATTCCTTCAACTGCAGTCTCATTCATCAAACCCCAACAAACAACTGTTCCATTCCATCTCCTAATCGCACAACTAAATCTCTCTCCAAGAGCTAACCCAGAAGAAAAGTTTAAACCTCTGTTTAAAGGAACATTCAACTGACCAGCTGAGTTATCTCCTTTACAAACTAATTCTCCAGTTGAGTTCACTCCACAAACATGGGAAGACCCAGCTTCGATATTTAACAATGACATGTTCCCGAATTGCCCTTCTATGTCTTTCCCTACTGAGTTACTTCCCCAACAAGTAACCCTGTTGTTTTCATTCAAAACAATCCCACAAGAAAACCCAAACCCGGATGTGATTTTACCCATTGTGTAACTACTGTTGGGTAACTCCCCACTGTTATTTGTATTATTGCCGTCGGATCTCCAGCAGGATACAGACGCCGTCGTATTCGTTGGTGTTGCGCAAATCCTTGCGTCGCCGATGGAGATGGATTGTAAGAGAACAGTGTCGTTATAGTAGAGGCGTTTAACGGGTAAACTTGGGACGTTTGTTTGCCAGCACAGGAGGCTGTAACCGCCGGAACGGAGTGCACAAACGTCTGTTTGGCCACCTGCGACGGTGGAGTAGGAGACGTTAGGTAGGACAGCGACGGTGGCGGAGGAGATGGAGGTATTGCCGGCACGGTAGCAGATTACGCGTTGAGTCGGCTCAGAGGCTACGATAGCGCATACGGTGGCGGTGCCGTAGGCGATAGCGAGCGTTGAGCCGGAACCCAAGGCATGAGTTAACAGCGGGAAGGAGATAAAGGCGATTAAAGTAATGGCGAAAAGGAGAGAGAATAATAGTTTCGTCATTTAAAAGAGTCGAACTTGACGGCGGAAGGGGTGGCGTTTCCGTCCGTCAGCTTCATTTGGCGAGAGAAAAGAAATGAAAGAGCTTGAAAAGAATCAAGAAAAGAAGGAAATTGAGAGTTTCAGCTTTAAGAGCATTTTAAGAAGAAGGGAAAAAGGCTGTGTTTGGGGGGAAAGGAAATTAATTAATGAATTATAACCGCCATTGTCTTACTTGCCATATTTGAAGTTTCTTTCTATAATAATTAATAATCCAAGATTTTATTTTCTTTTATTTTTAATTTTAAAATTATCAAAAATTAATCCTGACTATTAAAATTAAAAATTCAATGCTTTATAATAAATTAAAGTGTTATGTTATTTCAAATTTTTAAATCCATGAGAAATAGAAAATACTTTAATAAAAGTGGGAGATAGTGGAAATCTAAAATTTATTTTGTGATTTGGAATCTAAATCTTCCTTTAAATAAAGTAAATATTATAGAAATATTTTAATTATGACTAAGGATGGTGAACCAAAAAATATATATATGACATTTATTATCCCTTTGTTAATCTTCAAAAAATTTATTGAATTTCATCAATAATTATATAATTTACTGATGAAATGTTTAAATTTTTAATTTTTAATAATTGAGGTTCAATCTTTTATAATCTCAAATAAAAAAATTTATCAATTCATCACGAATTAATTACCATACAATAATATATATTTTGCAATTTTTAACTGGAGTTTTTCTTTTTTACATCAATCACACATATATTCAAATTGAATCATACAAAATATAAAATGATTATTTTAATTTAAATTTGAATTTTCAACTTTTTTTCAAATAAAAAATTTAAATTGGTTTTAATAATTTTATATGTTAATATACTTTATATCTTTTTTCAAATAATATTTAAATAGTATATGCCTCTTTAACATTAAAATTTAAATTTGAAACTCACAAGATATTTACCTTTTATATTGTTCCTTTTTCTTTTTCTTTTCGGATGCTCAAAACAAAGCATTAATTCTGGAAAGCCAAACAAGTCATACCATGGAAGTGGAAGATACACATAAGTAAACAAACAAATCTCGCTTACTCGCCATATATAACCACCACGTGTTACAAAAGGGACACTGTTTACGCGCCTCCGAGTTTAAAAACACACGCTTGCACAATGAACATGCGTATTAATGAAACACTTACCTATATTTTTTTTTCTAAAGCATGTATCTGTTTAAAGAAAATTGTGATTTAAATGTACAAAATTACTTTTTTCTTTTTTAATTTAAAGATAAAAATTTTAATAAAATATATTTAATTTTTTCATCTTGAATAATGAAATTAAGATCAAATTTCCAACTATACTATGATTTAATATTGAATTTTATCGTTATCTTTTTAATTTTATTAATTTATGAATAAAAATTAAGAAATTTGAAATATTTCATTAATTCAAATGATAAATTTTCAATTTCATTTTTTTTGTTAAAATGTTATCTATCAAAATTCAATGAAATTAAAGTATAATAACAAAATTCACTATTAACATATAATATAATAATAACTTTGGGCTTAATTTCTATCTAACTTGAAATTGTTATGTACAATATCTAAATCTTACAATTCATGCATTCGTATCGTATAAAATATTAAGATTTATTTATTCGTATTATGTTTTTTTTAAAATTAAATTTCATAATTCATATCGACATGAAAATATAAATTTTTTTTATTTCATTAAATTTATTTATAGTTATTATTAAAATTTTAGACTGTATCTTTTTCGTGTTTTTTTTCATACCGTATTTATATTATATTATCGTGTTATATTTTAGATTGTCCAATAACATCTTGTTATTTATAAAAACAAATTTTGAACACATATTTTATGAATTGGTTTGAAATTTCAAATTAAAAAAATAATAATAAAAGGAAGCTGTCAAATATCTATTCAACTTGAATTGTTCTTGTATTTTTTTTTTTATTTGTTGTATGGTATGTTAATGTTCTAGAGCCAATTATATTTTATCTTCTAACAATTCAAAGAAAATTCAAAATGGAGTCTAATTTACTGAGTCAAATATCTTGAATGGCTGCTTCTTGTTAAGAAAATGAAAGAAAAGGATGGAAGGTGTTTTCTTACAAAGTTCATTTGTTACTTTGGAGAGAGACCGCAAAAAAGAAAGGCTTGGTATTTTATGTGAATTTTTATGAAATATTCCCATTTTTTAATTTGAAATACTAACAACTAACTTTGCTCATGTATTTGTATTTTTTTTAATTCTTTTTAATGCATTTTGTTTTCTGTAAAACAATAAAAAAATCCTCAAACCCAATTTTAAAAAAAGCAAAAAAAAATTATTAACTTGCTACTTAATTTAATTGATCCATATAATTACTTTTAAAAAATAATACTCAATAAATCCGAAAATTAAATTCTAACACTCGCAATAATTTCTCTTATTCAAGATCGCCTATCTTTTATAAAAAAATAATAAATAGATTATAAAAGCATGCATGCTTAAGCTAAATTATGTATATAATATCCAAAACAAATACATATTATATACTATAAAATGTTAAATTAATAATAATTTTAAAACATATGCTGCGAGATACGAAATGATTTTTAATAATTTCTAATAATTCAATCTAGTTGTTTTGCAATTTCATAATAAAAATGTTACTATAAGTTTTTTTCTCAAAAAAAAAAAAAAGAAGAAAAATTTTATATATAAATCTATTTTTCTCAAATTAGACGTGATTGAACTCATTACATCATTAGTTGAATTCAAATATCAACTCTAATAAAATTTATTTAACATAAAGTTTTTATTAAAATTTTTTAATTCTAATTATAATAATTTTTATTATTATTTTTAATCTTATAAAAATCTTTCTTATCGTTCATCTAAATAATGTCTTAAAAAAATATAAACAAAAACGATTGGTTGTTGCTGCTGGGTATATGCCAATTACGGCGTGCAAACATTGATCATATGTCATATTCTACAAAATTTGATGGTCAAATTAAACTAAAAAAAAGTGAAGAATTCTATATTTTTCTGTAACTTCTTCCTTTGATGGCCTGTCCACGTGCATAAAATGCTAAAGTGGAGTTCTAGTTTTTTGACCAAAGACTTCTGTTACTTCATTGAACTTTAAAGGAGTAGTAGTGGTAGTAGTTGCAAAACATTGAAAAGAGAACATTGGATTCTTGGTTTGAAATGGTTTGCATATATATAATAATTAATTTAATCCATTTACTTTTCCACATGGGAAAGGTCACATGATTTTCAGCAAAAAAAAAAAAAACTCTTTTATGATTTTAATTTAATGTGAAACTTAGGTGAATGATGATGAGGACTCTTATTATTTTCAACAAAAGTTTGGTGTTTTTTTTTTTTTTTTTAAAGTTTCACACTGATGACTGTTTCTCCCTTAAAACATTGTGGAATTTTATTAAATTTACCTTTGCCCACAGATCTGAAATTACTTAAATTTGTTCTCGGAATATTTGTTTCAGTTATTGATACATGATTTCTTTTTACAAAATATATCGTAACATGAAAATAAAAAAATTATAAAAATTAAAATCTGAACTTCATATTTATGCCGAACGTTATTTTTTAAAAATAATTTTATGAATTAATTAAATTAAAATATAAATTTTAATTCAATTAATTTATATAATTATTTTTAAATTGTAACATTTTATAAGTTTGAACTTTGAATTGTAACACTTACAATTTTTTGTTATCCTCAAACTAAAATATCTTATGTGCAAAAAATAAATTATTTGATTTAAATCTCGAGTTTTTAATACATGATTTTTCTATTTAAAAACATATCTGAATCTTCCTTTTTCAAATTAAAAAAATTATTAAGATTCTACTACCAGAAAAAATATACTCTTGCTGCTTTAAATTTTTACCTCATCTCCACCTACGTTTGAATGGCATATTCAACCCCATTTGTTTACAATTGAACTATTCAATACTTCAAAATTTTAACATATAGTAAAATTTTGACTATTTTATGTTGCTTTAATTACAACATGTATTTTGAAGGAATCAAACATTAACAAACCTTTGTCAGGGGAAGGTATAAATCAATTTATTTTGCCATCTTAAGTGCCCAATCATTTGTTACTGCTGCATTTTTCAGCTAAAAAAAATTCTTGATCCAAAAATATATACATTGATGGTGAAATTAAGGGATTTTACTACTTTGAGGAATATGAATAAAGAACAGCTCAAAATTTTGAGGAAAAAAATATTTAAACACATCCCTGACCTTGAATAGGTTATTACTTTAGAGATTCTCGTATTATTCATTTTAATATGAAAGTTTTATAATTTTATTTCATAAAAAGTAATTCATAAATTTAGATTTAAATTTTTACTTATATATCATAACATTATATAATAACAGATTCTCAAAATCTCTCAATGTATTACAAAATTTTTTCATTAAAATTTGATGTTCCATCAAACTTAACATAAAACATATAAATCTATCAAACTATACCAAATATTGAATAAGCCCAATACAAAACAAACATAAATCGTAAGATTATATCAAATATTAAAATTTTAAAGATGACTCTCATGATATAATATTTAGCTCACATTTAACTAAAAATCACTTTGATATAATTAATGGAGATCCATACCTAATTTACAAAATATTGTTTACTTTAATTTAAAAATTTTATAATTTTATCTCATAAAAAATATCTCATAAATTTAAATTTAAGCATTTATATATCATAACAATGTTCAAAATTCTTTGATATAAAATTGAGATGTAACAGTTTTTTTTTTTTTTTTTTTGAGTGTTCATGCATTGGAAATGGAGAAGAGAGGAAGAAATTGAGGGTCCATGCCATCATGATGAATCAAGTTAACCAAAAAGCATTAACATTTTTTTTAAAAGTACAAAAGAAGGTAGCCAACCGCAGGATTAAACAGGCAATTTATTATGGGGCCCTAAACCTCATGAGGGTAATCATAGCTGTTTCACGAAGGATATAAAACATTTGGTTTAGGTAATAAATTCTAAAAATGCATTTGTTTTTGTGGAAAAAACAATAAATTATGGTAAAAAATCTTTATTAAATGTGCGGCAACCTTGATTACAATTTAAGTGTAATCATACCTATGATTTAAATGAAACTGATAATTCAGTAGGTAAAAGGTCAAATTTTCTTTATTTATTGATCAAGATGTGATTATTGTTAAAAATAATATATAAAAAAAATTTAAATACATCGTATTAATGTGAATGAAAAAAGAGCAAGATCCAAAGTCACCTTTGATTGTATTATAAAAAATAATATAATCAAGTTTTATTATCTATAAATTGGATTAATTGTTTCTTTTAAAAATGGCTAAATCTTTTTCTGTTTCTCAAATTGATGTCTTCTCCGTGTGGGATGTTAATGGAAATAAATGAGGGAGAAAAAAGAAGTGGAAAGGGTATCAAGAAAAGAGATGCTGCTGCTTCTTGTCACTGTTTATATGTATTTTTAGAAGCCTTTTGGCTTTTAGGCTGCTTTTGTCACTTTTATATATAAGCTTTTGGGATAAGGAAAGCTGTAAAATTCCAATTTGATAGCTTAAATTCCAAACATTCTGTTGGGCTGCTAACTAGTTGTATACAATTTCCAAAGAATTATTTATCAACTAAAAGTCTAAATTTAATTATTAAGAGTTTATTCGTATAAAGGATGAAATTGATTACAGTGAAATTCAAAATAACAATGACAATAAAATTAAATAAAAATGAATATTGTAAGGGTAAAATTAAAGTCGGTGATGATGATAGATGTTTGATGAAAAACAGTAATGATTATGAAAATTTTCAATTTTACACAAACAATCGACTGTCATAAGGTTCAATTGTTCACTATTCGTCCTCCGGTCACCAGAAGATAACCGGGGGCAATTGCACCACGAGATGCTATCCAAAACCATCCTCTTTTCGTGTAGCCATGCTCAGGTTGACCCTCCATTGCTGGATACTGCCACACTATTTCCATTTTGCATAATATGACAAAATCAAACAAAGGTCAGGCATTCTTGTTGAGGAAAATTTGTCACACACCTTTCTTCTGGTATGACTGCCTTCAAGCCTGATTTCAAACTATTTACTGAAATATATGAGCATGGTCTTTGCCTCCTTTTAGTCTCACTGTTTACCCCATAGATAAAGGTTACCAGGGAGGAAACTAGATTTCTTAGATGCAACTGCACCTCCATTAAGGTGCAATTAAGCTCAATCACCGTTAGTTGAATTCAAATGTCAATATTAATAAAATTTATTTAGCATAAATTTTTTATTTAAATTTTTACAGCTACAGTAATTTTTTTCAATGACAACTACAATAATTTTTATTATTATTTTTAATCTTACCAAAAATTAATTTTACTGTTTACTCAAGTGGATCATTAGACTCATTGATTGGATTGGCAGTTAGAAGGTAGATTTTGGCCTTTTGGGCTGCTCTACACCTTTGGAAAATTTATCAAGCTTTGGTCCATGCAATCAACATAGGCAATCTTATGGGCAAACTTGATGATTGCGGAGATTTGGACACGGTTCAAACTTGTAAAACATCAGAACTCATAAACTAGCTGATGCAATGATGCTTGGCAAAATCCCAGGCATTCATGTTTAAAACCACTTTTAATATTTTGTCCCCCTTTCTTTCATGATCAAAATAATCTTATAACCATACTAGGGACGTCTGGCCAAACTCCTTAGTCAATTCCATCTTACCCAAAACTCAAATCTTAGCCAATAAAAGCGTGGATACTCACATTCAATATTTTTCGTTTTGATCCGAAAATCTTGTGACACTTTACAAATATATATTTAAATCTCAATTTATATATTATAACATATTTTTAAAATATTTTGATATTAAATTAGAGTGTCACAAACTGCCACGCAGCCATGGCTCCTCATACAAAGTAGCATATGAAGCAGCATGGTAAAGGATGTGTAAACTATAAATAATCATTGATTGAGAGGAAATTTACAAAATTCTGAAAGATACAGACATCCAACAGATTTATTGAAAGTTTATACATAAAGTTACACTAAGAATCAATAATTTTTAGTGGATCTAAATCATGAATTTAAATCATCAATTTTTATTTAAATTATATATTGAATTTTAAAAATATTAATTTGAATTGAAATTGTTTCAAATTAATCTTTGACGTCATTTTTGGTTTGATTTGAACAGCCTTCATATTGTTGGTATATACATTCAAGAAAATTAAAAGTTTAGAATATAGTAACATTCAATGGTGAAAATTGAAAAAGAAAATCTATTTATCTAAAGAATAAAATGGCCATGAAGTATGGGTGGGACGCACGCGCTAGAGGAGAAAGTGGTGGTATAAAAGACTTGAAGAACAAAGAGAAAGTGATGAAGAAGAGACTGATGCTTTGCTTATTTGTATTGACACCCATTATTAAGCAAATCTAGTTCTTGGAAACTGAAGCTTTGCTTAACCTAAAGACACAATGAACAAGAGACTTTGAACTTTCATTGGTTTTCACTTTGCTTCAATGAGATTCATTTCAACGACAGAACCTGGTTTTGGGTTGACAAAACTAAACTGTCTGAACCTTGTTATCCACAAGACATGCCGCTGGAAGAGACTCAGTTTTCACATGAGGTCCATTAAGAAGAACTGAAATTTCCACATGCAAAGCTAGCCCTCCTTTGCATGACCAGACAGACATTCACAAGCACTACTTGTTTGCTCCATGAATGTGACAATCACAACTTCACAAGCCTCTTTTTCTACTGCTTTCCGAGATGTTTCCGGTGGATGTTGAAACCATACGCACCTCGGAACAGTTACTACAACAACTATTCATGAAAACTATAGCTAACAGCCGATGAAATAGATCACTATTGTTACTTAATGAAAAGGCAGCGATGCATCTGTTATTTGCAGGCAAGTGAAACCATAATATCACGAAGCTCTATGGTGAAGGAGAAATACAACTGTCTTTGGTTTTTTTCGAGGTTTGTCGAATGAAGTTACGAACAGTTAATCGAGCAAGTATCAACTCCGATGAAGATAAAGAAGTGGAAAAATGAGTTGATCATGCTGCATGATAAGAGATAGTCACTGACGTAAAGAATTCAAATCAATTAACTAAATGATTTTATTGTATCTTTCTTGCCACTCAAAACAAAGGGCTTGTGTTTTACAACCCCAACAAAGTAGAGGGGGAAAAACTGGGGGATGAGTTTTGTACAGAAAAAAGAAAGTGAATAAATATGAAGTGTGATCAGTGGTATTGCTATCCATAAAATCAAAACTGAAATTGGAAAAATACTCGGTCTTGTCACAATATAATCGGATCTACTCAGAAGATAATGCTCAATGAATGTGTAATACTCACAGAAAAGGTTGTTCCTCCTGCAATTAGGGAGTTTTGGTTTAGTATGAGTAAGAAAGCCATGGATGTTCTAATGCCTCCCTAGCAGTTGGGCGCCTTTGAGGATTCATTTGAAGCAAATGTCTAACAAAATCAATAAATCCAACATCAGAAACCTGAAGCTGATGCTCCAGTGAAGTCTCCTCAGAAATAATGTATTCTAATTGGTTTGTCTCCTGGATAAAGAAAAAAGACGGTATTAGTTCATCATAAGTCGGATAGACATAAACTAGCCAGTAAATTTCATAATTCACTAAAAAGTTAGACTGCCCTCAAATGTAGAATTGGTGTTCTTCTGTCAACTTCTATCATTAAAGGAAACCATAGACAAACCTCATTTATATGGTACAGATCATATTCTTTTGTAAAATACTTGTCTGTCTCTTGCCCATCCTCCAACATCTCCATATCGATAGGACCTAGCATTCCAACCATCCGTGCGAGGATCATTACGACTGCATCATTTGGAAACAGCACCTATAAAAGGACACAGGTACATAAAATGAGTCACTGATAAATTTGCTTCCTAGGAACAACTACTTAAAATGGGTAGCAAGCATCAGAATTAAAGGTTACAAAACGAATAATATATCTGTAGGCCAAACTATGATAAACTAAGACATACTTCCCCAGAGCATAGCTCGGCAAGGATACATCCAAGAGACCACAGGTCAATCTTCTGGTCATATGGGAGGCCAAGGATGACTTCTGGAGCTCGATAGGAACGAGATTGAACATATAGGCACAGATTGTCAGTTACAAAGCAACTGCTTCCAAGATCAATAATCTTTATCTCACATCTTCTATAACTTTTGATGAGAATATTCTCAGGCTTTAGATCACAGTGAATAATTCCCAAATCATGTAAGTATTCGAGTGCCTCCAAACACTGACGAGTTATAAGCTGTGTGAGAGAATATGAACAGCCAATTATTACCATCATGCTGGACATATTATTTGAATTAAGCTAAAAATTTATCACTTATAAACAACCCCAGATAAGAGTTATATTTCAGAAATATATAAATAACTGCGACAAAGAGAAACAATGAAGTAGAAGAGAATATCTTGGCCAAGCCAATACCCATTTGAACAAACCTGCAGCCTGCTGAGGGTAAAATAGGCTTCTCCACCAGATTCTTGATTGAATTTCTGAAATTCATACAAGTTTGCTTGAAGGAGTTCACAAACGATGAACAGATGCTCCTGGACAGATTTTGCATAAGCCATAAAGAAATCATTAGTATTCAATATATACAAAGTGAGATGGGGTGGCAATAGCCATTTTACTAAACAATTGACTGTTTCAAGCAGTCAATATTCTTTTGCAATGGATTGGAAATAATTAATAATTTACTCTTTAAACATACCTGGTGATAGAAGTAGTCATAGAGACGCAGAATGTGGTGCTCATCTCTGGGGTCATACTTATTAACAAGCTTTAGAAGTTTAATCTCATCCAAGCTCTGGTCGAAAAAATCTTTATCATTTTTAATGATCTTCAGGCAAACATCTATTCCCATGAGAAGATCATGTGCTTGAACAACCTTACTAAAAGCAGCTGAACCTATGTATTCTGTTACATAATATCTTCCAGCAATGACAGTGTTTAGCACTATAGGCAGGTCCTTGTTTTCTTCAAATCCAGTCCTGTAGATGGCATAATACATGAGTTATACTAATTTCTGCATTTTAACCAGCTCAGCAATTTGCTTAACTAATATTTAAATTCTGTATTAGCTTACTTAACATCGACAATATGAGAAATAGTATAGCATCTAACCTGTTTTTCCTATGAATGATTCGCAAATCAAATACTTCATATTCATCCACATTAGAGTACATCAGAGGTTCATCCGTAGCATCACCCTCTTCATCTGGAGAAGCCTGAGATTCACAAAGTTCTACATTGTCTTCCTCATCTTCACCTCCATAACTATCAATTGTAGTGGGCAACAAGTCTTTCTCGGCAATCTTGTGCACCAAGTCAGAATCACTTTTAAACCCATTAATCCAATCATTGGAACCCCTTTTGGCTGAGTAAAGATACTTGTTAGATTTATGCTCTGAAGCTATATTACAATCTGCATTAATGTCTCCATCAGCCTGTAACTGAAGATCATCCAAATCAGTTTCTTTGGAGCCCACATAGCTAAAGTTCACAGGATTTTCATCATAAAGATCTGGTCCCTCAAAACTTTTGTAAAGGGGAAGTGAACAACCATAGGCACAGTTCTTCAACTCCCGATCAATTTCTGCTTCAAGCCCTTTAAATTTATCAAAATGATAATAATCCATCACTTGAACCTCATTTTCCCCATTTATGAAGGTCATATCTGTTTGAAATCCTTCAGATTTTTTATGCGAACTCAGTGCATTATCATGTTGCTTTTCTGTCTCTGAAGTTGTGACAAACTTATCCTGACTTGGACAGCCATAGATGCCTGATCCAGCAAAGCATGGAGTCATGAAGTGGTCTTCATCTTTCTCATCATACCAATCCAAGTCATTCTGCATGTCAAAATCAGGATAATTGCGTGCTGTTCCGAATTGAGATAATCTATCTGACGAAGTATCAGAATCAGCCTGAGATGCAGAAGGAAGCCCATATGGATTCACAAAGTCTGCAAAATGAAAAACATTTGGACTGCTCTTATGCACTTTTAACTAACACATTCACCCCTTGGATATTGAAAATAGGGCCAAAATAAGAAGTCACTAATGATTTCAGAGTCTTTAAAGGTACAAAAGGATCTATCAGTACTTGACAGTGACTTAGATATGTCAGTGATGAAAGGCAGAAGTAGCAAACAAAATTGATGAAATTTCTTGGAGAACCCCCACAGCATATATCTCAAACAGAACAAAACTGGTCCTTACATAGCGGTGAGTAGAAAAGCAATAGTTGAGTAAAGATAGTGGTGAAAACTGAAAAGAGATTCCATTTATTGGGAGAAGTTCAAGGAGATTTACAATGCATGAACAACCCATCTGGTTTCAACACTTTAACACAAAAATACAAATTTGCTCTATGATTATGAGATCAGTTATGACAATATTAAGATTGAATTATCAGTAATAAGGATCCATTAGAATTAAAACAGTAACTAAACTTACTAAAAAAGTATGAAATGAGATGAACAAGTAATCCATCCATTCAAATTCAAACCCAATGCAGAAAAGGAAAAAAAAAAGGAATAAAAGGGAAAAAGAGAAAGGCCTTCACTCAACTTTATTTATAGAAATTTGCCTGTTGCTTACATCACCTAAAACTAAAATTGAACTGAACAACAACAGTAGTTCATGATCAAGCAATGATCTTTCAAACAAACTCAATCTGATCAAAAACCAATTAAGTTAAGCATGATTAAAGTAAAACCAATCAAATTATAATAACTCAAAACACTCACTCAAATAGCAAAAGAAAAAAAGTTTTTTTAAAAAAATTCCAGTTACTAAAACCAACAAAATTCCAACTCAAAACAATAACTGAAAGAGAAAATTTGTTTTTTTATATATAAAAAAGAACAAATTTAGTTAAGTATGACTAAAACCAACTTAATTCTAATCATTAAAAGATCAAACAAAATTAAAACCAAAGTTTTTTTTTTACCTGAAGAGCCAACATCACTAGTAGAAGACATCAAGCTGACAAATTCATCACTATCAGAATCCGACCCATCACTGGACTTGACTTTCTCATCGACCTCCGATCTCCGGAGGGTCGCCGGAATCCTCACCGGCGGCGGCATGGGGAACAAGAACTTCTCAAAATCAAAAGCACCCACTGCTTCTTCTTCTTCTTCTTGTTCATTTTTCTCCATCATATCTTCCTCAAGAGCTTTCTCAGCTTCTTTCAATCCATTCTTCCTCAAAAACTCTCTCACAGCTTCCACTTCAAAGCTCAACTCCATGAAAAACAATAACAACAATTCTCTCTCTCTCTCTCAATTGTTTTTTGCCTTTTGGGTGTTGTAAGTGTAAAAATTAAGTAACTTTGGAGGTTCAGAAGGGGAAAACAACATAAACAAAATACCATGTTTCAGCTTCTGCATGTTCTGTTTTTTTTGTTTTTCCCCTTCAGTCGTGAAACTTAGACCAAAGAGAGAGAGATGTTCCTTCTTACCAACTTTGGAAAGTGAAAGGCTGGTGAGGGTTTAAGTGGGGTTTTTGATTTTGTTTGTGGTTTCCCATTTCATCATTGGACACGTGGAGAAACCAAAATCCTACACGTGGATGATTAGATTTTCTTTTTTTTTAATATTTTTGGTGGGAAGTCAAGCGGTTGTTTGAGGACCATTTTCATTGCCTACTTTTTTTTTTTTCTTCTATTTTTTACTTTCGAGAAGTGGTGCTCTTTTTCTTTTCGTTTCTTTTTTTTTTCTTTTATAAATTTAAATTGAATATTTTGTTTAATGTTTAAAACATATAAATAAATTTGATAATTCATATATTTATATCATATAAATATTAAATGTTATATATTTATATTATATTTTTATAAAAATTATATATCATAATTTATATCAACATAAAAATATAAAATATTTTTTTAATTTAATTTATATTTAATTATTATTAAAATTTTAAATGTATTATTTTCATATTCATATTTTATATTATATTTATATCGACGTTTCATATTTTAAATTATTATATTTATTTATATGCTAACTTAGAAAAAAAGTTAAAAGTGTTCATTTTTTATAAATATTAAGATTCATGTTCTCTAATTTCATATTTCTATTCCTTATTTCACTTTTTTTTTTTAATTATAATTGCTATTATTCTATATCTCATTAAAGAATAAAACATAAAAAACAGATGTAAATAACATCACCCTCTTTCATTTTATGTCAATAAATAACTTTGTGAAGATATGAACAGTAAAGTACCCATATGTGATATAATGCTATTCAAGACGAGGATAAGCACATTTTTAAAAATTGAATCAAGAACTTAGTTGTCATTTTTCTATGACCATTTTATGAAGGAAAATTTGGCAATTAACAAATAAGTAAGAATTGAATTGATATAAATGATCTTTCTAATTTTTTCATAAACTATTTTTTACCCTTATTGTATACATTAATGGTGAAGTTCTAAATTTCACAAAAATTTTAAAAAATTGATATGTATTTATTTAATAATGATTTTTTATATAAAAATATTGTAATTTAATAATAAAAAATGAGTCATAAATATTAAATTTTAAAATTTAATTATTAAATATTATTTTCAAATAATTATATGAATTAATTAAATTAAATTTTAAATTTTTTAATAATTAATTTTCATTAGTGTATTTTAATCAAACACTCGTCAACTTCCTTGTTTAAAAAGTATAAAATCAAATAGTGAGAAAGATTACAGTAATGCAATAAATTAGGCCCACTTGAGTTAATTAATAGCTTCAAATTTTTTTGGTGTGGGCCCATTGTGTTGTTTATTTTATTGGTGGAACCTACTTTTCATGGGGCCATGGGCTCATGTAAAAAAAAAAACCAACTTCATGCCATGATGAAATGATATTCTTTCTCCATGAACAGTATGAGAAACACAGCCTTTTTTGTTTTTCTTTTTTCACTTTCTAGCTTCTTTTCCATGTGACAAGAGAAAAAAAAAAGAAGGAAGTTTTTAGTTCATTTCCCCACTTCTTACTTCCCTTTTATAATTATTGCTTACCTTTCACTTTTTTTTTTTAACTTTCTTTGTTGTTGGATTTGATTTGGATTTTAGATTTTGAAATATGACCCATATATAGTTGTTGAGTGATAATACTTTTTTTCATTTTAAAAATAAATAAATGAAAAAAAAAAACCCATGAACTCTTCAGTGTATTGAAGAAAACCCAAAAGTTGACCAAATGTTTTTGAATTTCATGTATTAATTAAACTAGCTAGCCAAAATTTCCAATATAAACAAAGTTTTAAATCATTAAGTAGGTGAGTTGGTCCAATATAGGACCATCTGTTAGCCATAAATCCAGCTCAACCAATACTACCTAGCAAGGAGGTTGGTCAAATTTCTTATCTAAATCATTTAATGGCTATGATATAGTTCATAATAACGTGGCATTCAAATGATAACTTAAGAAAGAATAGACCTTATAAATGCCCTTACCATATAGTTATGGTTCAACCAAATAAAAAATTTGTTCAAAAATATATTTGATTGAATTACTAATATATATAATTTTGATTTAATCATGTTTTCAAATAATTTCTTCCTAAAAAAGCAGTTTTTTTTTTTTTTTTGTGTTTGTATTAGTTTAGATATTAAAATTAAAGGTAATAATGATTCGAATCAAATCAGATTTGATTCGATTTTTTTGAATATTGTATAATATTATAAATTTTTAAAATCTAATCTGAATCTTAACTAATCCTTGATACGATCCGATCTTAATTGAATCAATTTTTATTAATTTGGTTTAATTAATCCATTTTTAAAATTTAAATTTTTTATTTTTATATATTATTTTAATATATTTAAATAGATTTTGATATAAAATTATTATTTTTAGTTTATAAAAATTTAAAATAAAAATATATAATTTTGTTTGGTTCAATTTTTTTTTATTTTTTATTTTTTGATCCGAAATTCAATCCAAACTTAATATATATATATATATATATTTAATATCCAAACATAATTCAAACTAAATAAAAATTTGATTTAAATCGAATCAAATGCTACAATTTTAAATTGATTTTTTATTTTTTATTTTTTTAATTTTTTTCTCACCTCTAATAAAATATGCATTATATCCTTTGCATTTTTTAAATTATAAATTTTTTTTACTTTAATACATGAGATACTATTAGTATACATAATCTAGTCGTGGTAGAAATTTGAGTTATATATAGCTAAAGTTTCAATCACTTAATTAGAGGCTATTAGCTACTTGTATAAATTCTTTTTATAATTTCTTGTACATAAAAGAAATTCAATTGAGAATGGCAACTAATTTTGATCCTTAACCTTCCTAAGAAGAGACACAACAATTAAGTAAAACTTGGGTTATTAATTGTTTTCTATCTCTTTTGTATTAACCAAAAAAGAAATACAAAGAATATTTCATTTATTGTAATCTAATTAGTTCGTACAGTTCATTTTAAGAAAAGACATTAAGCAAGTTTAAAATTTAAATGTCAAATTTATAATTTCTTCTTTTATTCTCAAACTACAATCTTTTTATTATAAATATATAATTTTTTATCTTATGAAAATTATTTTTTTTTTATTTCATCAAATTGAAAATTTGAATAGCTTGTTGTTTCCCTTTAAGGAAACAAGGCTGATAAATGGGTGATATTTACATGAGAAAAGCATAACTTTTCTTTGCTATATAAATCATATTCTTTGTTATTATATTGCCTTTTATTATAATTATCACAATTATATATTACCACATGCCCATAACAAATCACAATGCTAAACAAGAACAAGAGCAAACTTTTTCAACATTTTTCAAATATGGAGAAGGTAAATAATGACAAAATTTGAAGGTTTCAAAAATCCATTATTCAAAATGAAGACTAACAAAAGTTTTGTACATGTATTAGGTAATGATAATTACCATTTCTCCAATAAAAAAATTAGTTCATATAATAATAAACTACAAAACATGTTTTTCAGATAAAGACATTATGGTCAACATTATTGTTTTTTTAACCTACAAGACGTCACACATGTTATCTCCTTCTTAAAAAATTGATTATAAAGTAAAATATTAAAATTCATATATTTATATCGTATTTTATATAAAAATTATGTATCTTAATTCTTATCAACGTAAAAATATGAAATATATTTGGTTTTTTAGTTTTGTTAAACTCTCGTATATTTATTGTTAAAATTTTAAAATCATATCTTATTTTAAATGACCAAACCTAACTATATCATCAACTATTAAAAAATGAAAATCTTTTGATTGTGATTTGGGGGTGACAACAATCCAAATGATTATTGGATGCAATGCCCAATCTTGATCTTGAATGTGGCTCACTGCCAGCTCTTAATGAATCATGGACTTGTTTAGGGGCTTTATGGTCACAAAGTAGCCTCTCAATCAGTGTCCAATAAACATGCCAATGGCCCAACACAAAACAAAAAATGTCACAATTTCTATTTTCAAGTAGGCTTGGCCTGGTTTATCTTGGGCTCTCACATTTATAGGGCAGAAGACATTACCAATGTTTAATATAAAAGAAATCGTAATTTAAAAATAAAAAAATATTATAAGTATTAAGATTTAAATTTTAAATTTATTAAACACCATGAATATAAATTTTTTAAAAAATAATAGTACGTTTTGTAATAGAAATGGATTTTTTATGCCAATTTTAAAACTTGCAATTATAATTGTAAGGAGCAAAGCTGGCTAGGTAGGCTTTTTTTTTTTTTTTTTTTTTGGGTTTTTAACTCTTCTGTTTTTATAGTTAAGTTGAAAAAAAATTCATGTTGAAGTTGGAAATTTCAATATGAATGTGAGATGTTACTATTATTGAATTATTACATGCAATCGACAATCATTGGGGGCTATGGATTTAATATTCACCTTCTTTTATTTGTCTCAACATTAGCTCTTCAAACGTAATCTTTAGTACTTAGATATTGTCTATAATCTTTTACATAATCTTATGGACAAATTATTCACTTCCAAACTACAAAATGATGGCCTAAGATTTGTATATCTAAGATTTCTAGTCCAAGGATTGTGAACCTCCAAATAGACTTTTTTTTTTTTTTTCTGAGATATATATTATTTTGAATAAAATTTTTCGTGTAATTTTGTGATTTTTTAAAAAATCCAAATGTAATATTGCAAAAAAAGAAATCCAGTATTATGAGCTTTTCAATTAGTGAAAAAAATGAAGGATTAAAGTCTAATCGATAAATGAAATTATGAATTAAGTATTCTATTAATAAATCAGATTAACTCAAATTAAAAACTCATTTTATTTTTGTTTTATTTTATTAGCTAGTGGACTTTCTATTTGTCAGGCTAGTGCTAAAATATTATTAAAATGAAAAAAAAATCATAATTCGAATAATTCAAATCAAAAAATTTTTTTGATTCGAGTCAGTTTACACCGGTTCGATTGACACCTTTAAATAGAAAAAAAGAATAAGGTTACCCCGGTAGGACAA